CTGGCTGTGCAGCCACAGATTTGTTCCTTGCTGTCCCCAATCTGAATCTTGTAAACTCAACCAAAACTTAAAACTAGAGAGTTCTTAGGAGCTGCTGAATATTTGGCTATGCTAGATAGGAAATAACTATTAATAAATTTATGGATGAAGGCTTGTTTACATTTCTATTATGAAGTATGAATTAAGGATTCATTATAGTCACTGCTTCTCACTAAGAAGAAAGTGTTTGAATTTCACAAGTATGTGTATATATTACAGCCTAGGCTCTGCTAATGTATAATGGAAGTTATAATCAAAATAGTAAGACAAATGATTTTCTTTTATAATAGTGGAGCAATAATCAGGACCATAATTTCTTATAGCTATTTCCTAGGTACCAATAGTAGGCCTATCTGGCTTTTATTAATGCATATATGTATAGACAGTACAATATATATACATCTTTACAATAAGGTTATTGTATTTTTCTTACTCTCATCCTTTGGCAAAGACATATTAAATAATCACTGCATTTTAGAAATATGTTTTGTGAAACCATTTTAAATCTGTATTTGAAGACCTCGTGTTAGGGTTATCTTTTTCATTTTTTAAGGAGAGAGCCTCGTGTTTTCGTAAAGTTCCAAGAAGATTTGTCCAGAAATAGTCCACAAGAGACAGATAAGCGTGAAAGTAGCCATGAGCAACTTCAGCTGTGAGGAAGTTACTAACATGGAAGCTAATCGGATATCCTGTGAAAGAGAATAAGAGTGAGGCTCCCCAAGGACGTGGTCAAGATTGAGCACAGATGTAGGCCTAGCGAGGCCCAGAGAGGTGGACCACCCCACCTTGCCCCTCCGGCCAAGGCCACCGAGCCCTCCGTGGGTGGGGTGAGACCCTGGGCCATTCACTATCCCTCCAGCTGCCCATTTCAGGCCTCTCTTCTCCTGCCCCCCAAAAGAAACCTAGATTTATCTTTGATTCCTCTTTTTCCCTAACCTCTAAAATCAAATCAGTCTGCCAAGTCTCACAGATACTCAGTCTCCCCACCGGTGGGGCCTGTTCCGTCTTCCGTCTCTAGGACTTGCGCTTTACCTTAGGCCTTCATCTTCTCTCTTAAATGATTGCTAATGGCATTCTAACCGTTGTTCTCTGCCTCCAGTCTTACTATGTGCCATTCTTGACCCAGAGCTGTTCGACTGAGGCCGATTAAAACTTTTAAGAGTTTATTTGAGCAAGAATCACCTTGAATTGTGCAGCGCCAAACTGTAAGTGGTAAGGGCCCTGCCGACAGGAGCTAGGGAAAATCAGAGACGGTGCCCAAGCAAAGAAAGGAAATTATTTCATGGGCTAGAGCTTAAAGCCTCGCTCGATATTTGTGACTGTCTGTTCTTTGGTTGTGATAGCTTAGCTTTCAGGCATTTACAGGCTTAGGTTTTGGTTTGCTTACTAGGCCACCAAAGCATGAGAGTCAGCTCAGTCTAATGGCCTCCTTGTTTAATTAACAGAATGATGTTTCTAAATATCATCTCATTCCCCGTGACCCTTCTTTGCCTTAACATTGGTCAGTTGCTTGCCTTCACCGTTAGGGATACGTTCCAAAATACAGCTCATATGCCATTGAGGATGTGTTCCGTGATTTCAGGTCTTCCTGAATTTCTAAAAATGTATTCTTTTACTATGTGTTACAATAAAATAGCTAGCACATCAGACCTATTATTTTATAGCTATTAATGCTTAGGGCAGAGCTAAGTTAAAAAATAATGACTCAATTAAAATGTAATTTAAATAGAATTAAGTAAATAATAGCACAGATGAGAGACAGACGTGGTTTATTTTTTTAAGAAAAATACATTTTATTTTAATTTTTTTCAAATTGTCAAGTTGCAGCTGTGCAGCATATTGGTCAGACATTTATGTAATTTACAAAGTGATCCACCCTTAAGCCTCGTATTGCCCTGATACCATACGTAGTTATTACAATATTGACTGTCTTCCATGTGCTGTACTTTACATCTACCTGACTGCTTTGTAACTACCAATTTGCATTTCCCTGATGATGGGTGACACTGAGCATCTTTTCTTATGTCTATTGGCCATCTGTATGTCCTCTTTGGAGAAAGGAGACAGGCTTGGTTTAAAAATAATAATGAAAAGGACAATCTGGAACTCAGATGGCAGCTCAGATGAGGTACTCCAAAACCCTCACTGGGGTGTCTCGGGAGGCCTCCCCACATCCCTCCGATCTGAGTCAGGCCCCCTCCCATCAGCCCCCAGGGCCTCCCTCTGTCATGGCATTCACTACACTCTAATGCATGTTTCGCCTTCTAAGCTTTAACCTCAGTGAGGGCAAGACAGAGACTAGCATGTGTAGGCAATAAACTAATGTTTGTTGAGTAAACAGCCCGAGCTGTGGGTGTGTGAGGCATCACACAGAGCAGCTTTCAGATTTTCCAGATTCCAGACTGAGAACGATTTTTATAACATTGAGCTTTCTATATTTCTGTGGAAGGAACTAAGCAACATGCAAGTTGCTAAATTTAGAATCAGACTTAGAAGAGCTGAACAGTTTTGCCTCACATGATTAAGACCTGGAGGGTGGTAAGGGGATAACACCCTGTTTACTAAGAGGAATTTACTAAAAAAGAATTTCCCTATATTTAAAGCTTATGATGGTTCTCAAATGTTATGCCAATCAGTAAATGATGTTACAAGCATTTTTGAAAATATGAATGCTATATAAATGCTAATTTTCATAAAAATTTACATACCACCTTCCTTCTGATAGAAAATAGTAAACATGTCATTTGAAGGGAAGACATAATTTAAACAACTTTGATTTGCATTTCTGTTTCTTTAACAAGCTCCCGTGGAAACCAGAGATAGGAGCTTCATTTTGGATGTCCTTTTTCATGCGGTAATTGCCCAGCTGGGGAATGGGCTAGGGATTGAGTCTTAGAAGAGAAGTGTGGTTGGCTGAGGTGTTCCAGGCTCTTCATTTATTCCTAAAGCCAATTAACACAAACAGGCAGAGGCATTCAGGGATTTTCTTCTCAACAAAAAGTTAGGCATTACCGTTTGACTACCCTGCTCATGGTTACTTGCTGACTATTTTTCAGCTCTCCTTGGAAAAGGGCTTGAGGGAGTATAGAGGTACCCGGTTTTTCAGAATTATTAAGGAAACTCATAAATTATGGTTCCTCCTGAGGAAAGGGTGCACACAAAATAACTATAACAAAATGGAACATAGCTAATAAATACAAAATAACTGCATAATAGCCACATAACTATGTAGAACCAAAGACAACAATAGTTCAGTAAATGCCGTTATCATAGTTGTGACAACATAAGAAGCAGCAAGACCGAAAGTGCTGGGCGTCACAGTGGGATTTGTGCCATCAGATGGCCAGAGGCCTCAGCCAAGATAGGACTCAGCTGAGATGGGCCCACAGCAGCCACCCCCTATTCTCCAAGCCTGTTACCCTCTGATTACCCCAGCAGCTGCTCAGAGGTACCGCCACAAAGATTACATACACATAGGTGCACTGCAGCACAGTTCCGAAAATTAGAAAGAGATTGGGTGTGTAAACAGTAGGTCATCCACATGACGAAGCCAATCATGCTTCAGAAATCAAATGGAGGGAGAATAGCCCCTGACACGGGAAAGGGTTCAGATTGTATAGCACGTGTTTGAGGTGTCTTTTCTACATAAGGATAGGGTGTAGGCTAAAAGCTCAGATTTTAGAGTAGAACGGTATC